ATCCAGTTGTTGCTGCTGTGAGGGTGTGTTCTGCACAGTGCCTGTGCTTGTCAGCTTATGGAATGGAGATGCTTTTAGGATGAGATCTTTCTCCATTTTCCCATTTTTGCTTGTTTGTGAATTACAGCAACAAAAATTAAAGTCTCCCGTGTCTCTTGTCACTGAGGAGTCCTTACAGYCTGTGATCTGGTGAAGGCCAGTGTGGCACTGACAGCAGAGAGCTGCTGCTTAATCTTCCCATCAGTGTTTGACAAGAAGGTAAAACAAGTGAGGGTGCTGTGTGTGAATCTGGGGCCTCTTATGTTGGCTCTTACATACTTGTGTGACCCTGTTCTGCAGACTTGATCTGTGGCCCTCATTCTGGGATTTACAACACAAATCTTCCCATGAAGAAATTTATATTTAAAAATTGGATCAAGGTTTTGTCTTTATCGTGCGAGATCTTGCTTGATGAATAGCTATCAGGAGAAGGGTGATGGCCTTGATTTTTCCTCAACAGAAATGTTTGGGAATTCACCTGACACGGAGAATTCAGGTGAAATTCCAAGTAAAAGTGTCATTTTCGAGCAATTTGAACAACGATATTTGATTGTCACAGGTAGTAGTGCTAGAAGGTATCTTGTTTGTAGTGCTAGAAGGTTATCTTGTTTGTAGTGTTACAAGGTTATCTTTGAAAGACCCTACTAAAATATGGATACACAATGTGTGGAGAGGGCTCTCTCTCTCTCTGATGAATAAATCTGATTATTAATAATTATCTTATGAATAAGTAGGGAGTTCCCTCTTTCCCATCTGAAAGATAGAAATTTATGGGAAAGTGTCATCAACAAGTGTCTCCATGATTTCACCTGAGGGCACAGAGGGTTGTGCGTGCAGGTGTGTTTAAAGTACTGTAGGCAGAATACCTCCTAAGGTTGGTTGTAGTCTCTGCTTTTGGGTCYGCTGAGAGCAGTGGCTGGCCCTCAAGTGCAAGGATTCTGTCCCATTCTCACATTTTACAGAGGCAGGGGATATGTGAGTACTTGGGTAATGAACAAAGCTGCCATGTGGACTCTGAAAGTCTCCACACCACAGCAGAAACCCCTTCCCCTAGTCAGACATCTTTACATATACAATTGATTCTTTTTTATGCATCTTGTGTTGTTTTAGTATTGTCCTAAACAAAAAAAAGTCTCAGTTTATGTCATTTATAGGCTGTTACGTGTGATGGTTATAGAATTCCCTATTCTCCTGGATCTTTCTCTGAAGACAAAACAGTATAAATGAATRCTGCAGTCTTGTCCTGGACTTTCTTTGTCACTTGGCTGAGTCTGTGGGTCCTTTTTCCATGTCGGTAGTTGGAGGCTTTAATGCTTCCTTACATCACTGGTTTCTTGTGRGGAGAAGTTATTAAACAAATAGATAATTTAGTAGTGTTGCATTCAGGAGCTACAGTACGGTCTCTGCACCTCTCTGCACTTGTTCATTTGTAGTAAAGGTGAACATTTGCAAATGCCTGACACCCGAAGCTCGGCAGAAATCTCACTATGTTTTAAAAGCAATGTGCTTTCCCTGAGGATTGCAGGATTTGTACATTTTCCTACATCGTTGGATGTTAGCGCTAAGTGAGTGGTCTTGGGGGAGGGAGCTGGAGAAGAGGAAACCTTGGAAGCCTGTTTAAATTGCAAGACTGTAAWGAACTCTTCTATGCAATCTTCTGTCGGTAGTATTATTTCCCTGCAATATTTGATTTGGCGCTAGGTATTCTATGTTTGTACTTGTATGTTAGAAATGTACAAAAAAAGTCTTTTTATACCATGCTGCTACCAGTGCTCCTGGTGTTGTTGTCATTCCCGTGTGCCTTCGTTAACTTTTTAATTTATTTTTTTTCTTTATTTGCAGATTTATAATTAATTCATGTATTTATTTTCATTCTGTGTCTTTCATCCATTTGTCTGTTGTCATTGGTGTTTCTGTCTGGTATTTCTCTCTTGTGTTTGTTCCAACTTTGACACCTTCTTTATTTGTTGTGTTCCAAGCAGAGGAAATTAGATATAGCTCAAGAAGCCACAGATCTTCCTGTTAGCATTAGAAAAGTGTGATACCTCATTTTCTTCTCTTTCAGACACTAGAGATAAAGTTCCTTCTCTAACTTTATTGTTGAAATCTAAACCTTGGATAACTCTTGGATCAGATATTCTGAAGCAAACAAAGCTCCGTTTACCCTGACTGATGCTCAGCCCCATTGGGTTTCTTCTGGTTAATTTACTGGGAGTTTGCTGAGCTTTGTTCTTATTCAGACAAGTTTTGTTGACTGGGTTGTTAATTACAGGTTTAAAGTTGTATTTGCTCTATCTAACAACTTAAAATATTGGGAGTTTTTTCCTCTCTATATTCATTTACTTACTTAGGCCTTTAGAAGAGGCATTGCTTCATTAAACGCTATTCTGCTTAGTCTGTAATGACTCTATTTCTTCCACTCTAAACACATTAATACATTAAATAGTTTCATTTGTCTTCAGTGGGATGAGGATGTTCCACATTGTCTTTGTTTCTTGGGGCCTGTTTGAGACATGATCTTCACTGGTGTAGCTGTGCTGTGGAGGACTCAGCAGAGTCTGCGTTGTAATTCCAGGTTGACGGGCTTTTTAGACTGTAATGAAGCAAATTTGATATTTATTTGTCAAACTGATGAGAACAGTATGATTTTTGTGCTTCTATAAAATTAATACCTGCGACTACTTCAGGTCTTCGCTCTTTTCCCCCTCTTTTCCTGCAGCAGGGCTCCAGTGTTGGTGGTGGGAAGCCACTGTGTGCAAGCARTAGGTGATGAGAGGATGCTCATTCTGTGGTGATGGGCTGGACCACTCCTCTGCTGTTCTGGTGCAGCAGCAACACAGCAGTGAGACACATGGACATGAAGGGGAAAGAAAAGAGGTGGCAGGTTTTCCAGGGGACAGGCTGTCCTGCCACAACACCCAGGGCTGCTGGAGGGAGCAGCAGATTGCCCACTCYGAGTGCCAGGGGGAGCAGCTGCCAGCTCCAGCTTGGCCTCCRAATGGGCTGCACATTTTAGCAAGTACTTAGCACTTTTGGGCAGGCTGGGAAAAATAACAGTTTCTGGAGCTTATCTCCTTCAGTAACAGGTTTGTGTCTGTTCTGAAGAACAGGCACTGCAGTGACCAAAGAGCCAAAGGGAGAAATGGGAAAGATGCATCCAGTGCAACAGAATTCTTTCACATAAATCCTCTTTCTTCCATAGAGGTCATGAACGATTTCGTTGACTCAGGAGATGCTACCTCACTGCTGTCTCCTCAAAGGGAATTTTTAATGCCCCATTTAGTTCCCTTCTAAATAGTTTCACATTTCCCGGGTTAATGTCACAATTTCTCACAGGGTTAATGTCACAATTTCTCATTGCTAAGAATTTTATTTCCTTTTAATTTTAGAGTAGAAGTTTTATGGAATCCAAGTGTAAACTTTCTGTTTAGGTTCTTGGGCAATCACTGATTTGAACAATACGTAAGTTGAGGATTAGTGTCCATACAGTACTCTCTGCAGTAGTTGCAGTGAGAGTGTGCTGAGCTTTTGCCATTCCCAAGCCATGGAGTAATCACATGTAATGTACCTGCTCTTAAGATTAGTTCAGGTTTTATTTTTCTTTTCCTGTGGGGTTACTGATGTACTGAGCCTCAGCAAAAAGGGTTAAATGGAACTTGAGCTATGAGTTTCAAATGATGCCTGACACATCTGATCCATATTACTGCAATGTGTCAGCAACTGCAGTTGATATGTCAGCTCTGCAAGCAAAAAAGTGATTGCAATGCAATTTCTTCTTTTTCATGTAAAATCACACTTATCCTCTGTGCAGGGATTTTCTTGTTCAGTGGACTACAGTGTGGATTTGGAAAAAAACATAATTCATTTATATGTAAATACAACCTGAAGGCTACAAATATCCGAGCTGYTACAAAGACAGAGAGCATGTACATGAAAACAAATGGACCTGTTGTTGTTAGAAATTCATAGCTTRCCATAATAGGGACGGGGTGGGGGGAAATTGTCTTTGAAACCATATAGGTCAGCATTTCAGACTTCTGTATTTGTATTCCAGTGAAAGGAGAAAATGGAAAAGCTTCTGCATGTTTGCTATTTTAAAGCCAGCTTGAGAGGGGAGAAGCAGAAATAGTATTTTTCATATGTCTTAGTAGCAAATTACATGCAGTGAATAAGATATTTTAATGCTTGGCTCATATATAGGTTTCTGTGAGTTTTATTTGTTTTAGAGGGTGGAGTATGTGAGTTTTTGGCAGTTGTTCTATTTTTTCTCTTTGTTACAGGAAAATAAAATTTAGGAAAAAAAACCTGCCAGTAGAAATTGTGTCTGTGGGTCTCACAAAATGCTGGGAAGTACAAGAAATCCAGCATTCTAAAGCAAAAGAGAAGGAGGGAAAGRCAAACAAGGAGATGGATGGTGGATGATTGAGGTGTCTTGYAGCAGCATTTGCTTTACCTGATTTTTGTTCCTTGATATAGTAAAAATATTTCCTTGCTGAAGTACCTTTGATTTGGATTTAAAATAGCATAATAACATAAAAATAGCATAAATTATTTTGAGRTAGGTTCACATTAACCACCGCAAGTTCCTCACTTAACCTGCCGCTGTTGCTGGAGATACAAGTCTTAGCTCCTATTAATGCATCTTCTACTTCAGCAAGGGAAAATGCAATTTCATTTTATAGCTCTTTTAGAAGAATCTGTGATAAAAGCAAACCAGTACCTTCTCTAATAAGTATGAAAGATCAAACCTGTGAAATTTGTAGTGAGTGTAGTCTGTCCTCTTAAAAATGTCCTGGGGATTTATGCACTAAATTAATGCTAATAGGAGTTACCTAAGATAATAGATCATTTATTTAGTATGGCATTTCCCTTTAACATCTTTTTATTTCTATTTTTTTTATGAAAATAAAGTTAGGAGTGGAGTTTACAGTATAAAGAACTTTCTTCCTTCTTCTCTGTAGGCGTGCTTCTGGGAAGCGTATTGACCATGAGGAAGCCCACGTGTTAGGAACCAGTCTTCGCTAATTGCACCGAGGAAAATGAGGCCTCGTTTCAGCTTTGCCGAGCCTTTTCCCATCCTGCTGGCTGAATGAGAAATGGTCRTGTGATTATGCTGACAGCCCAGCATGCATTTGGTAGACCTGTGGCTAACTCGCTCCCTCTCCATGTGTCTGCTCTTACAAAGTTTTGTCCTCATGATACTGTGCTTTCATTCTGCCAGTATGTGCCCGAAAGGCTGCCTCTGTTCCCACTCCGGAGGTCTGAACGTCAGCTGTAGCAATGCAAACCTCAAGGAAATACCCAGAGATCTCCCTCCAGAAACAGTCTTACTTTATTTGGACTCCAATCAGATAACATCGATCCCCAACGAAATTTTTAAGGACTTGCACCAGCTGAGAGTCCTCAATTTATCAAAAAACGGAATTGAGTTTATAGATGAACACGCCTTCAAAGGGGTGGCAGAAACCTTGCAGACTCTGGATTTGTCCGACAACCGGATTAAAAGCGTGCACAAAAACGCCTTCAACAACCTAAAGGCCAGGGCCAGAATTGCCAACAACCCCTGGCACTGTGACTGCACGCTGCAGCAGGTGYTGCGCAGCATGGCCTCCAACCACGAGACGGCCAACAACGTCATCTGCAAGACCTCYGTGCTGGACGAGCACGCGGGGAGACCCTTTCTCAACGCTGCCAACGACGCCGACCTCTGCAACCTCCCGAAAAAGACTACGGACTACGCCATGCTGGTCACCATGTTTGGCTGGTTCACCATGGTGATCTCCTACGTGGTTTATTACGTCCGACAGAACCAGGAGGATGCGAGGAGGCACCTTGAGTACTTGAAATCCCTGCCAAGCAGGCAAAAGAAACCAGACGAAGCCGATGACATTAGCACTGTGGTATAGTATTCTGAATACAATGACTGCCTTTGTGATGGAGGCTAGGGATGGTTGACATTAAACCAGAGGTTTACTTCAAACGTTCATTGTAAACATTAAGACTTTTTGGGGCTTTTTTTCCTGTTTAAACTGAATTGCGCCACTGTTGAGCTTTCTGACAGAAAGTTTTGTCCGGGTGGTATATTTCAATTATTTCTCCGGTGGTATCCTAAAGCAAGTGAATTAATATGTAAACATTAGTTTAGACCCATTCCACTATTTAATAACGAAATTTATTTTTTTAATTTAAAAACCAAATAAAAGCTTAAATTTGAACCATGTAAAGCAGAGTAATTTATTGATCAGAAACCTGTCCAGTGCCAGAGCACTCTTGGCTTGTTCATGAGGCAGAAGAGAGGGGCGATGATGAAGTGGGCTGTGAGAGGCCCAGGAGTGGAGGGTCCCTGAAGGGCACTTGTCACCCATGGGTGCAKGGTGAGCAGCTGGTGAATGGTAGCCCATTTTGTGTGCTGCCTGCCATGATGGGAAAGGGAAGGGCACAGTGTGGGCAGAGCAGAGTGCCCTGACTGCAAGTGCAAGGGATTATGCTGGGTTAACCCCTCGAGGGCATTTCGGCAGTGCTGGGGAGGAGGTAACCTGGAGGAGCTGCACCTCAGGACATCAAAAACAGGTAAGCTGGGGGCATGTGATGGGTTTTCATTTCAGGCAAGTGGCCTCAGAACTGGGGAGTACAGCAAGAAGGCAGCWGCTTAATATTCTGTTTAAACTAGGGTACCACTAGTGGTAATTAAAAAAAATTAATCTGGTGGGTTTAAGCTGTATATTAGTTCACAACTAARTGTGACTTCTATTTTATAGGGAGAAGCTTTTTTAAAAAATGGAAGGAAATAAATGTTCGTATAGGCTAGGCATATTCTGTTGTGTGTTAGGATAAATGTGGTTTTGTATGATTTTGTAGCTAAACGTTCGGGAAAATAGAAAGTCCACATGACAGTTAAACTCAGCCTTGCATATAAAATGGATATTTGAAATCTTTGCTGTCTTTAAAAACACAGTATTTTTCTCTTTTCATAAAGTTTTCAAAGGGAACAAATTCACAAGAATGTATTCCTCTTGTCTTTTATTACCATAATAAAATGATGCTTGTCTCTGGGTCCCTGTAGATCCAGTCTAACTGACATTGGAARTGTGTTACAGAAGGGTGGATTAAAAAATGTATAAAATGCTGCTTCGCTAAAACAATTGTTAAAGGTCAGCCTTAAAAAACTCTCCAGAGTAATCTTTCCCATTAGTTTATCCATTATTTCTGTTACAGTTCTGTTATTTCTCTGTATTTTAGAGGGCACAAGCTTGTTTATCTTCTTTCTTTCAGAACACTGTTAAAATAATAGCTAAAATTTGTTTCCAAGCAAGTGAGAGAACAGGAAAAAAAAGACAATTTTTTTTTTAATGCACATAGAAATAAGTCCTTGTGACCAACTTATCCATGAGCAGTTTTTTTCAAATTAAGAATATGTTAATGTTTGTAAAGGACACGGTCTGTCCATAAAATATCCTCTGTCCAATATTTCAGTCYCTACCACAATCTCCCTTAAGTAAAAATTTTATTTTCTAAGGAGAGGTGGCTGTTGATTACACATCCTCCTTAGCTGGCATTTTGTACTTTCCTGTTTCCAAGCCCTAGCTATCTACTCCAGCCCCCTAAGCTCTGCAGGAGCCAAAASCAGTAGGGTTAAATACACAACGTGAATCTGAAGAAAGCAGATAAAATGTTATAATATACTGGCAATATAACAAACTCTGCTGAACAGGATGTGTAGTGCCTCTGTGTGGGCTGACCAAAATTACTTCCTGATGTAATTCCCCTATTTTCTCTAAAATTTCCTTTGGAGTAAAATTGGTCTCATTTCTATCACCGTGTTTCCTRAGCAATATTTAGGATCCCAGCCAATACATCATTTTAGAAAAAGCAGGGGGGGCAAGCTAAAAGATGGCTCTGAGATAGTGGTACTAATGATCAAGAATTTGGTGGTGTTTATTCACAGCTGAATGCAGGAGTTTCTCCACAAAATTTGGACAAAGCTATTTAAACAACATTTAAGGAATTCTGGACAGTCTTAAAACACTTGGCAGATTTAAAATTTTGATTTCAAGCAACAATTTCCAAATGAGTCCCTCTTCCCAAAACTGGCTAAGAAAAATATAAATAATTTATATTTAGATTTTCTGGTTTTCCACTTTATTATTTGATCCATGAGACAGGATCTGGAGCTGATATAGTTGTACCCCAGCTGAACTTCTAGATTTACATCTTCCAATTCTGACCCAAACAAATTTAAACCAAATTAAGTGTTACTCTGTAGAAATTCTTTGGAGGATTACTTCCGAGAAGATAAGAAACTGCTTGGTTTTTATTGTGTGTATTTCTACACACCTTCCCAAAACTACTGTCTCTAGAAAAGCCTACGTGCTGCCCTTTGAAGTCAATGGCACAAACTTTTAAACTTTGGTCAAGTTGCACACTTCAAGGAGTTATTTGATTTACAAAAGCAATTCTGCTGGGAAATTAGTAAATTGGTGTATTTTTATCAGTAATACTTTGTCATGTAAATACAGATGAGAGGAARTGGATGTTTGCTTACTTACGGGAGGTAGCATATGATAGAAAATAAGAAAGGACATACATAAGACAGTGATTTTTTTTTTCAATTAAGATGCTTCACAGAATGTAAAGCTGGTGCTTCATAGCTTAAATGTGATTAATTTCTCTATCCTGATTTTCTTACAGAAAAACATCCCTACTTTTTATTTCTAAATGGTAAACGATAATTCTCTCAACATTAGTTTTTTCTTAYAACTAATGGTGATTTTTCTCTGCTACTTTTCTGATGTGATTATGCTCTCGGTAAGATCTGTGGTAGTGCATTTAGTCTGTGTGTATTAAGGCKCAGGCTTTATGTTTTTATTTTGTTCTCAGTTTGGTGCACTATTAGATACAGATATCTTCACTGTTAATGTACATTATATTCTTGGGTCTTTGGTAGCAAGATTTTGTACTGCAATTGCCATAGATTTCGGGGATGGTGTATGAGCAGAAAACGTGGTGATCCAAGTTCTTTCCCAGGGAGCAAAGAAGAAAATAGAAATTTTATTTACCAAATAAATGCCATGCAGAGAATCTACCACAATTTTTTTTTCAGCTTGAAAGGGGCAAATTGTAAGTATTAGGAAGCAAAAAAAAGGAAAGTAAAAGGAGCAGCTGGGGACTCAAATGCTTGAAGATGTCATGGAATCTTGCAGCACATTTAGATGTGCAGTGRATCTCAGACTGAACCTAAATCAGTTTTTTAAAGGGTGTTGCTTTGCTTCCACACCTGGAAAAAGAGCTAAACAAGCTACAGAGACTCAAATCAGAGATTTCTTTTAAAAAAAATCTTTAGGAGGGAACTCCAAAGCAGGAAAATATAGGAGGATATAAATTCTGGTGAAGTTACATTAAAGCCATAGTATGGGCAAAACAAATGGGAACATTTTTTTTCTAAGCAAGTCAGAAACAGGAGTCTCATTTAGCAAGAGCCAAGAGTTAATCGAGTATTAAGGGAACACTGTGGATCGATAGGGCAAATGTTCTGAAAGAAGCTAGGCTAGCATTTGAGAAGGGGAAAAAGTCATCAGTTAAAACATAAGAAACAAAAGTAAGAAGAAATTGTCTGTTTTCTTGAAGGAGAATGGTCACTGAAATTTCTAAGGTGTCCCACAGAAATTAAAAATGGGAGCAGTGCTATGCAGTGTGTTCCTAGGAGATGTGGAGAAGGGAATTGTTAATGAGCTGRTAGCATTTGTGGGTTATAAACAGTTGTGGAAGGCAGTCCAGCCTACAGATAACTGTGAAGAAATACAGTTCTCACATTTCTAAGCTGGCAGATGATGATAAATAGAAGGTTGGATTTGGTGTGAATAATTACAAAGTACTGCAGATGGCACATCTGAACAYGAGGATATTCTCTAAATTGGCTGTAATCAAATGGAAAAAACATCTTGGAGGCACAGTGGGAAGCACTTCAATGACAAACACCAGAAATTATTAGGAGGGAAATAATCAAACAGCRTGGTGGAATGGCATGATAAACCACTGAATAAAATCTGTGATGAACACACATTTGGAGCACTGCTTTCTGTTCAAGTTCTCCTTGTCTTCAAGAAAAATTGAACTTGTCTCTGAWCTACTGAATATGTTGAGAAAGAGARTAAGATAATCAAGGATAGGAAGTTGGTTCCATAGGAGAAGACATCTAACATCCTTAGTCATGGAGGTGAGACCATAAGAACTCTTTCTAATTACCGGAGTAGTAAACAGAAGGGAAATTCAGAAGGTCTGATCTCTGCTTCTTGCAACAGAAAATAGCAGTCTGGTTAGAGAGAGTCAGGCAATGCTGTGGTTCTTTTAAATATTTTTGTAGAGAGCATGCATTTAAATGCTAAAGTACAGGTTACTGTAGAGAAGAAAACRCATGTTCAAAGGTAGGACTCCACAAATTCCTGGAAGTCAAGGTTGTTAGCAGTCAACAATGCTGACATTATATAGATACAATTCTCAATGAGGAATAGATACAGTTCTCAATGAGGAAAGTCCCTGCTGGTGACTGGAAGCAGGGATGGTTTCCCTAGGAAAGGCACACGAGTCTGTGCTTTTGTTACTCTCTGGGGTGCTGCTGTGGGTGTTTGTTGAGGAAGGGAAGGTGGGTTTCATTTGTACAACTGATGCTCTCGTGTCTGGTGGGATGCAAATCAAGCTGAGAGGCAGGAAAGAGTATTGGTAGTGCAGACAAGGAGATTCTGCAWACATGGATTTGGAATCAAGTCCAGGAAAAGCAAAATCCCATTTAAGTGTTGGTGTCTTGTCACTGTGAACGGCAGCACTAGCTGCTGGACAAGGTTCAAGCAGTTTGTGCTGAATTGTGCTGAGAGTGTGTTAACTAAAGGAGTGACAGCTTTCCACTGGGATCTGTGGAAAAATTAATTCAAAGATCTTACCTGACATATCAAGGCAAATTGATACTACTCTCAGAGCTCACCTAGTGGTCCGTCTAGAAAAGATGGGGATTTCCCTGCAGGTTCTTCATTAAAACAAGGCTAAGGACTTGTTTTTCGCAAAGAAATCCTTTCATCGTTGTTTCTTCAATTGAAAACTCACGTGATGACTTCTTGAAAGTAGAAGTACTCCAAGAGTGCCACTTAAGACAGGGAAATGCCCTGGAAGCTTTGGTTTTGTGTTGCTYGAGTCAATCTGAGGAAYGAAATGCACTGACAAGCATCAGACYCAGCRCRTCYGTGCTGCACRTGGCGATATATGAAGGAGGGGATTTCTGCCTGTG